GAAGGTGGATCAGCCCATGATTGAACCGACTATTGTGGAGCCGGTAGCGGCAGTACCACCTGTTGCCATACCTCTGGAGAAATCCTCTGTGGCGGATATGGGTGTGAATGGCTTGCCCATTACTGTGCCTTCTCCAACGTGTGATATTAGTTTTTCGGCTTTCGACCCTACAGTTGACAATCGTGACGTTTCTGTTCATGATCATATTTCGGCTCCCTCTCGTGCATCTGCTGGAATTGATCTCTCTGAATGTGCTGAATCTGCTAGTCGAATTCCTGATAAATCTGTTGCCGAAAATTTTTATTTGAGCGGCTTTTCGAATTTTGAGAGGAAGCCCCTTGACTTCTCTCAACTGCCTCCGTGGCCTTCTCTTGCTGATACCTCGGCTGTTAGTAGTGTTGCCTTGCACGAACCTCATTGTCCGTTTTCTCTGTCACCTTTTTACTCCAATTTATTGGAGAAGACGCTTCTGTTGGTTCAATTTATTCACGAGGCTCTCAACGCTCTCAACCTATCTTCAAGCTTCCTTGATTTTCCTATCTTCTCATTGCCTGCTTCCGCCCTTTCTAAGAAACTCTCCTCAATGCTGTCTGAGATTGCTTTTTCGTCCCAGACGTCTGCAATTGCTGCCAGCGCCTTTGATGTTGTTGCCAATCCAGACAACGAATGCTTCAGTCCTTCCAACCTGCCGCAAACACTGTGTGACCTCTCGTCATTTACAACCGATTCTTCTACCTCCGACAGCAGCGTGAGATGTCTTCAAGAATCAGATCCAAGTACTGCTCATCAGGCCCTGTTGTGCATCGCTTCTTGCTTGTATACTCAACTACGTCGAACACTGTGGCTTCTTGTGGGACGGGAATGTCCACCTTCTGAGCCAAATGAAGGTCACGTGCAGGAGGTCCGCACCACCTCTCCAGTTGGAGTGGACGACGACGTCACGTCACTGTTGTCCAGCTGGTCTGAATTCTTCCACAAACTCCAAAATCTTCGCCTCCCCAGCCAGCCAACTGCGCAGCCAGGTCAGCAGCTGGCGGTGGTTGATGCGCACTGCCTTTGCGGCATGACCCCCAAAGCTGCCGTCCTCAAGTTAACTTCCACGCACACTCTTAGACCAAATCACAAAGCTGCACAAACAGAATCGCCTAAGTCCGCTCTCAGCGGCTTGCTGACACCCGAAGCGCTTCCTGCTTTCACCAGTACGCCTAGAATTAGGCCATTGTCTTCACAGCTTACCAATTTCGAGTTGAGTGAAGCCCTCTTAGATCGTCCCGGTACGCCGTATTCGCAGTCGTGTGCCTTCTTTGCGAAGACCTACAGCCAAAGTGAACCAAGCCTTGTACTTTCATCTCACGCACCCGGACTCCTTCAAGTCTTGCACTCTCTGGATGCCTTTTCCGAGAAGTTGACTCGATACGCCGGCGTCGCTCAAACAATCCATCCATTCCCTCTCTCAACACTCTCAGATCAGCTGTCGAAATTGCGTTTGTGGCTGGTGCGCACTGGCTGCCAGCAGTCACTCGTCGCCAAGACTGGGGCATCTCATTCTCTCCCGAAGACTATGGCGACCCAGACTAGCGTCCATGGCTCCTCCAGTGCATCCTTTGAACTCTCTCCAACAGAACTTCATCTACGCAAGCTGCTCAATGTCCGAGACACTGAGGTACTCTACCTCCTGACCAATCTGCCTGGCGGCGAACGCCTCATTGACCACGGTTCCTCTCCCAGTGTCGTCCTTTCACCGAGCTACCATGAGGCCCAACTGCGCCTACTATCGCACTGGGATCTAGTTCAGCCGATTGATCCCACCTGCATACCCGTTCGCCGCGTCATCTTACCTGAAGCCAGCGAGATTCCACCGACTGCTGCTGCTATGAATGGCCATCACTCGCAGACATCTACTACCGAAGTCGTCCTGCCGTTATCACCATCTCCAACTAACGTTTTATCGGTAAGTATAGAACATACCTTCTTATTTTTTTCTCTTTGGGACCACGTCAACAACAAACCTTCATTGGCCTATTTTAGGAAATTCCAACTGAACCAGCGTTGCCTGGTGCGGAAACAGGCCAGGCGTCACACGACGCAGAGTCTGTGAACACAGCGAAAGCGCTGCTTCGTCGGTGCTACAAACTAATCAAACATCTGGCCTTAACCCTTCGACAAACTCTCTCATCCAGACTGCCTCGAGAGTACACTGATGAATTGCTGGACATGTGTCTTCGCCTAAACAAACTTTCCAACGGCGAGGATGTGTCCTCTGAGTTTGGGGACGTTCACATTCTGTGGGACGGCAACTTCCAGAAGATCCCAGATTCGCCCGGTTTCGCCAGAAAGTGGTCCAGAGCCCCGGTGCAGGAGTTGGCCTGGGCCATCGATGCACTCGAAGACATCGTGGAGCTACGCTCTCTAACGCATTTCCTGACTCAACAGTACAACGTCGTGGGCACCGAGGTAAGCCCGTTCCGTCGTTGTTTTCGTGTCTCGTGACTAGCACGGGGTTTAACTGTGTTCTCCCGGCTACCTTTTTAGCTGGAACAGCAACTCATTGTTAACTCGGGCCTGCGAAATAGCCTACGCGAGGCTAATAATCGACTCGCGAGGATCATCCTCGGTATTTCACAGGGTAACCAGCGTCTAGCCGTGATGGCAGAACGCCTCTCCATGGAAGCCGAAAAGCACGAAGCCGTTAACAGTGAGTTCGGTTCACAATTACCTTGAACCCAGCACATCTGATTCGTATCTGTACAAAATCCTGCCTATTATTATTGTAGCTTCGTGCCAGGGGGTCGTAGACGACTCACCAACATCCCCTGAACCAACTCTGGTACCTGGTGGCGGAGGTCGTGAGGTATGTTGCGTCTTAGCACTTCCCTAGTTGTTTGATTGAATCAACATCTCGTAAAATTGTTGTGTATGGCTGAAGCTAATGTGGCGTGTTTCTGTTGAAGGCGCACCAGGCCGAAACCACGGAATGTGGACCGACATCGTCGCCTGAAGCACAAAGCGGTGAAACCACCGACAAGGCTGACCATTCCCGTCGACCCAGCACCCTGATGCGTCATCTTCGTGAAGTCATGAAGAGACCAATATCGAGGAAGTGAAACGCACCCAAACTCTCCACTGTGATTAACATTCTCTTTTAACGCCAATCTACCCAATCCCGATTGTACCATATCCTAATTGACTTATTTTTGTTCAAACTACTTCCTGTAATTATACATTTTCTCTGATTACTCGTGGGCTTTGTTCTGGAAGCCGAACACATTTTCTGTGACGGGAGGCACTCTTCGCTGGTTGATTGGTCAATCAAAGTTTCATGCCTATTCGTTGATGGCGTGACACATGTCCCTAATTACCTTGCTCTTCCCACGTTGCACACGCTCTCTGGACGGTCCGCCTCGAATTCTCATTGGTCAAATCCAAGAGTAGGCAAATGCTTTAGTCGCCTTCGTCAAGCGGTGTGTTGGTGGCGATTTGTGGCTGAGGGTTATAGCGGACACGTTAGACCATCTTGTGGAATTGGTATGTTTCACGTAATCATGTGGCCAGTTAAGAACTAGTGCAAAATTTCTGTTGTTAGCAAGACTTGTTACTTTCTAGGTAGTTGTACGTATTGCCGTTTTATTGGCGGTCGTAGGAAATATTTGGGCTAGGGCATAAATAACACCCAAACCGATTTTTTCAGAATGAACGAATCGAATGTTCCGTGCTCTGGAGCCACTGCCTCTCGTTCATAAAAAATTATGAACAAGAAAACTACGGTTAAATATGGCGCCTACTTTTCAAAATGTTATAGATTTGAATTGGAAAATAATCAAGGAAAAACGATCAGGAAACGTCATTTTATCGAGACAATTCAAAGTATCGTGAATCGTGGGTATCAGTGTGTGACCTAAGTACAAAAGTACACACTATGGAGGTCAGTGTGGCCTATGTTTTTAATCCTGCCTAGTGTGACCCCACACCTACCGCCCTGGCTCCGTTCTGCCTGTATTGATGCACAAAAAATGCACGAATTTGCGCCTTAACTCAAGGTCAAACAACCGTCACATTAGCCAATTAGACTCGTTCGCCTTGATAAGTAATCACGGATCAAGCGAAAGTGGTCGAAGATGGTGTCTCTGTAGCATGCGACTAAAACGAGTTCAATTTAAACTCGAGTAGTATATGGAGCGTATTTCCGGGGAAGATCTGTGGGTTTACAGTGGGGACGCATTTTGGGAACATCTATCTCTCTGCGTGCTTTGAAGTCGGTTTCGAAACCGTCTTTTTATTGGCATAATTCCAGCGGCTTCCACGCAGCACAAAATTGTCCGTGAACTGATAACTGGATCTGCAAATTCAGGTTTTTCTGAGCTAACACACGGTGAAATGTGTGGGCTCAGGTTTTAATCTTTGCCCAGTTGAACCTTCTCGTGGAGAATGAATGTCAAAATTTTTACCACATCAAGAAATGTCAAACATTTAAAAACGACGACAGCTACCCACTAAGCTCTCTTAAACTCCGCTACAACTCTGCCACTATCCACAAAGATCGGCCTCCAGATTCGTTCTGTGGAACTCTTGCTAACAGTGATGAAACTCAACCAATCGTCGGACTAAAGGTGTTTCTCGTTTAAAAGGTGAAAAATGCGTAACAGAGCTTTAAGGGCTACTTCGACCTTCACTGTCCGTGTGCAGACAATTCTGATTGGTTTGTGTGGAGAGTGGGGGATTTGATTGTGACATTCCTGTAAACCACAAGCAAAAGCTAGTCCACATTTGTTTAAATTTGCTAAAATCCCGGAGTCGATAGCTTAGACACAGCTAACTAATGGCGGTTCGCCAATTTTTCTACTAGCCGTGATCGTGAATACTAGCTCCAGTCATTTCTCGAGTTTACCTAGGCAGAACACCGAAATACAGACGGAATTCGCTGGCAGGGAGAAATAAGAATTCTTTGGAATGAGGTTCTCTGCACCAAAAAAAAAATACAGAGAGGAATAAAGACCTTTATTGTGATCAATCTAGGCACTGAGGTTGTTAGTGTGGTTTGTGAAAGGCCAGGTTCATTTTAAACAAAGTCACATGTTATGTGCATTAACATATGCTGGTCACAGCAAAGACTGCGAGAACTAAACGAACACAATCCCTGGTTTGTTGCGAACTCTAGAGTAATTTAAACAACTGCATTAGTCCTAGATGAAGGGAGGTTTGAGATTGACTTGAAACTTCGGAATTTGGCAGAACGACAGTTACATTTAAAGGTCCAAACTGTCATCTCCCCAAACAGTGGCCTGTTTCAGGAACACAAGGTTAGTGAACAAAATTGCGAATTTCAGTAAAATATTAAATTTGGAATTAGGCTGAATGCGAAGGGGAGAAGTCCTTGCAAAATAACTCTCCTCCGCCGAATTAGCGAGCGAAGTTTCGTGGTGGATCGTCTCTGTGCCGCCAGCCTGTTGAAGTCTGCAGACTGCACAAGTAAGGTGAGACGGCGACACGATGATCAGAGGGGGTCGCGACATCTCGTCCCCTTCCTGGACACGTGTCGCCAAGGCATGGTGAAGTGTCCATAATTTGGTAACAAAAAGGTTATAGTCAGTCGTACTGATTCACGTCCATTTATGCTGCCGTCGCAGTCTCCACCACACTGACCTCCTCCTATCGATCATGCGAAACCCTTTGATCAAACACCCCCCTGAATCTACCTCCCCCATGCTACCCTATCCATTCGTCTGGCCTCTCCCAGTCTGTACTGATCGATAACCCCATTTAGTCAGACACGACTGTTTTAAGCACAATAACGTGACGGTCACAACTAAGTTGATCTGTCTATTACAAGGTCGTCCCCTCTGTATTTTTTTGCCTACCTGAGTTACCACAACTCAATAGACCAGTCAACGCAACCCACAAAGGCAGTAGGCTATCGATTAATTTAGATCACTAGTTCCAATACCCAATCAAACGCAGACTCCGATTAATCTACACTACGTGTTGTGCCAGTCCGATTTTAACGTGCCAAACACCCGCCTAACTTTAAAAAGGCCTTTTGCTCTCCGAATGATCGGAAGTATGCTACACGTGGTGTAATATGAACTTAGCTTCACGAGGTGCTGCCAAAACGCCTTCTGTCATATAGTAAAACAGCACGGTGCAGTGGTTTACGAGGCGCGGGTTCAAACTTGGAGCGCGTCGTCTTGGAGTGTGCTGGCACTGAGTTGAAAGTTGTGCGCCAGGTACCCACCCTGCCCCACTACATCCGGTTTAAACTCGCAAACTGCAAATTCACTATTAATGGTAGGTAGGCGCCATGGTAACTGGTTCTACACTGGCTGCTACCACATGGAGGGGGTGAAATTGCATCGAAATTGACCGATTAAAGGCTGATTAGAAATCGATTTGGTAGGGTTGATGTCGACACAATCGATACTTCGACAACAGGACGGTTATGGGTTTGCGGGACACATGCACAACCTAGGTAACCCCCCTCCCTTTGGCGCGTTAACGACAACCTCCGCATTGGCAATCAGACAAAGCACGAATGAGTCAGCGTCTCCACAAGCTAGGACATGACAAGACCACTTGTAAATAGCATGGGTAGGCTTTAGTGCAAGTCAGAGTAGAAGTACACTCAGGATGAATGGGCCAATAGGAAGGGGAGGTCGATATAAGTTTAATAGTTTGGTGAACACAGATACGATCAATAATTTAAAAAAAAATATTGACAAATTCCAATTGGATACGTGAAATCTGGCATTTCCAACGGATGAAGATAACGGAAAAACTACAATCACTGGGGTTCTTCGTCAATTCAAACTGTTGACACCATCGTGACTTTCATATTTGGTGTCTCGACAACTTCCGTAACGTCTACGAAGTCATCCACGCGGCCAAACGAGCCGGATTCGATTTAAAAAAGATTGTATCGCCTTAGAACAAGATTAAGAAGTCGATAGTCCCCAGAATTAGTGTTTTCATAAAATTAAAAAATTTCATTTCCACCCTAATTTTAAGTCCATGCACGCAACATTTCATTTTCGAATCGGGCGCTCTAATCCTATTGGCTACGCGTCCATTTAAGGTGGTGGTAGTGGTGTCAAGGTCATTCGGGGCATTCGATTGAGGCAGAAAAATCTTTCCACGTGGCGTATTGTCAGTCCAAGCCATCGAAACCAACATCTCAAAACGCAGCTGCTTATAGACCTCTGCAACCCCCCCTCCCACTGAAACTACAAGACTATTCAAAAGAGAATTCTTGCGCCAAGTCATAGATGTCTTAACCTAGCGAGGCGTACACATGACGACTTCTTAAACCACCTCAATTCAGGAAAATGTGGACCAATTTCATGTCCCCACATCTAGCACGCCGAGCTAATGACATCGACCTAGGTCAGTGGTTGGCTACGTGTTGTCGTTAGACTAGACAGTTTTAATTACTGCTCGCCTCGCATGACCTCTGCTAGTATCAGGAAATGCGCTAATTAAACGCAACATCGTGTTCTCTGGAAATTTCTATACCGCCATGCCGCCACATGCTTTCACCTAACATACACGAATACTACGTGGAGGCACCATTGAGCGATCTCAAAAGCGATTTGAAATAAAAAAAAAGCTAAAAATAAATAGTTTTTATTAATTAGAATGTATAATCTATTGGATCACACTTATGCCATCCAAAATTAGCTTGCTAAGGAGGAAACAGGTGAATACCCGAAGAATCATGTGGTCTAGCGCTATCATGTTGACGGATGATGTCATCTTGATTCACCAAATCTGCACGATTTGATTGGATTTCAACACTGAGTTGGGTAATTTTTTCACAGGTCTTCTGGCCAACACTCCCATCCTTCCAGTTTCGCATTCTTGCTGTGCTGTGATGTCTCGACCAATAAAGGGTCCGTATTTTTGACGAGCAAGAAGGTTTGCCGCCCGTAAAAGCGCGGCCCAGCTTCTCCCGTTCCGTTGTCACCGTTTGCTTCTTTTCGCTAACTTGGCACCTTAGCGAATGAGGAGAATGAGGAATCCGCTTCCCATAAAGAGGTGTTATTCGTGTACCTTTATGAAACTAGCTGTGGATTCTAGATTTAGTGACGTGGTGGTGGGCTGAACCAGATACTTC